AGAGAGAGAGAGAGAGAGAGAGAGAGAGAGAGAGGGGGAGAAGTCTCCCGCCTGTGAAATGGAATTTTTAGTAAGATCTGAGAGTCAATTATACTTCACAGATAACATACTATTACTATGTTCACCAATGTTTGTGATGGAGCGCGTATTACAGTTCTATTTTCTTTTTTCTTTTTCTTTTTTTCATTTACTCCTTCGGCTATATTAATAACAACTGTAACAAATAGTAAATTATTCTATATAAAAAAAATAAAGTAAATGAAAGTTTTTTAATGAAAATATTGTGTGCAAATTTTTTTCTAAGCCGGCCAATGTTCTTCCATGCGGACAAAATTCGCGGGAATAAACTTATTCCCTCCCCAAAATGAAAATTATAACTCTAGTCAACTTAATTAAGCTCATATCTATAAAATAAAAAAATTATAATCTCTTTCTAATAATGGGCTTATATAACTTCTCATGTCATTTTGCAAGGGAAGGGAAATGGAAGATTCTTTTCCACGTTTGAAAATGCTGGGAAAGTAACCATAAGATATCACTTTATCAGTCCTGATCTCTTAGACCATAGGAGTCCAAGAAATTGTGGTCATCTACTGTTGGATATTAATCCAATGGTTCAAAAAAGTTTCTTAAAATGAGTGCAAGAGTGAGTGAACCGTTGAATTTACATCAAATGGTGAGTGACCACAAATTTCTTGGACCCCTGTGGTCCAAGAGATCGGGACTGATCACTTTATTTCCTTTCCCATGTTTGTTTTGAGTATGAATGGAAAACAAAGTTTTTATAATTTTCCAATTATACCCATATTAAATCAAATAAAAAAAAGAATGCATGTAATGATACATTGAATGTTGGCTCATTTTCCTAACCTTTCCCATGAGGAGGGAAAGCAAAACCCAAGTTGAGAGGAGGGCTTCACTTTCCCCCATACTTTCCCATGTGCTAGGTAACCATTTCGCATGCCCAGATTTACCAAACATGGGAAAGCAATTGATTTCTCATCCCCAAATCTCCTTTCCCATGAACCAAATGGGGCCTTAATGAATGCCCAATGAAAGCTTGTAGACCACGCATATAGTCATCGCTCCTTCGATTTAAGAATACCCCACCTTTGTTCATGATATTGAATGATAACTAGTGACAGACACCTTAAGTTACTAGTCAAGACAATTGAAATTGCCAACATGCATGTATAGATGATCAACCAAGGAATATTATAACTCAAATACATAAACAAAATTAAAATTGGCTAATAACCATGCGTAGAAGATCACTATTGATGCTAAATTCGGAGAATTACTTTATTAACATTTATTTTTCTTCGGGGAGAAGGAGTGGCAAATTTGTCAATTAGGATTTGAATTGCATAATCCCTAAATTGAGGAAATAAATTTCCGTCAGTGTTAAGGTCTCTCCGTTGAAGTAGAAGACAATGTGGAAAAAAACACTACACACTACTCAAAACATCATTACAATATATTGATTACACAATTAATTTGACAAAAGAAATAACACACATATCTGGAGGAGAGAAGTCATTAAGCAGTCACTTAGGATATATACAAATTCAATATTCGATTATAATCTTTTACATTTTAGACTACATGTTTTGAAATAATAGTGATCGGTACAACCACCTTTAATTATAACCTACTATCAAATTTCTAAATAGGCTTTTTATCACAAATGGTCTTTGAAGTTTGCGAAATTATTACATTTGATCCTTTACATTTTTTTTGTGACATGGTTGGTCCTTAAGGTTACTACGCATATATTGAAATAGTCCATGGCATGAGATTTTGTCAAAAATTCTATTAAGTGCCCGTTTGGCATTGCTTATTTGGGGTGATAAGTGATTTAAAAAAAAATTTGGGAAGCCCAGTCCATTTGGTAACCTATGAGGAAATCACTTATTATTAAAAATTGCAGTGGGAGAAAGCAATAAAGGAAAACAGCTAATGGGCTGCTTTTAATTTATGATTATACGATAATCAGATTTGAGGAGGCGCTAGGTTTAATGAAAATTACAAAATTCCGAAAATACCCCAATATGATTTCAGGTTCTCCTTTTCATGCGTCTTCTCCTTCCCACGCTACAGAGCACTTTCTCCTCTCTTCCATTCTTCCTCCATTTTTTTTTCTTGTTGGATCAATTGAAGCGGCTGTACTCGCAACTATTATGCCAGAGGAGCCTGGGAGCTTTAAACATTATTGTGAACTGGTATTCTAATGGTGCCTTGGTCAATTATTTTTTTCTTTTTCCCTTCCCAACTGAAGTGTTCTTCATGGTGTGTGAACTGTATCACTTTGGTTGATAGGCGGGCCCAATGAATATGAGTGAATTGAAATATAGATATAATTCTGATAAACAGGGTGTAGTATTGTATAGGTAAGCACTAGTCATCTTTTAGGTTTCACTGACATTATTTTTCCTAAATTTGCTGCCAATTTCTTTTGTGTGGTTAAGATGGGTTTACTTATGGCTGTTTTGTTTCCTATAAACAAAAGCTTTTTACTCGGAATTCTTTGCAATAAGAAACCCAAGCAGACGAAGTTGCATAAATAGTTTAATATAATGCAGAACACAGTAACTAGGTAAACTTATGCAGCAAAGTGATTGTACAAGACATATATATGTATGTATACATTGAACCATAAGGAAAAACATATAATTTGTAAATCATTCCCAACGCATATCTCACTGATTACTGGATGATCAAGTTAGATGTTGTCTCCCAACAGTAAATGTCACATGCAGCAAGCGTTCCCGGATAATGAGTATTTTCCATGCATCCCTACACTCCCGTCATTTTGATACCTTCAACCTAGTCAACCCATAATACTTGTGGGACTAGCAATCACAGCCCTCACTTAAAGGTATTTCCATAACTTCGCACCAAATAAAAATTGGATATCAGACAATACATCATGCTAACGAACCCTAGTTGAGTGAATCTTGTAAGGTCGCTATTAGAGCCCTTTCCAAGATCAACCACTCATAGAGTAAACCCTAGTGAATCTTAGCAATTAAGAAATGAACTTTTCCTTTCAAAGATCAACCACTTCAAGTGGATTTAACCCCTCTGAGCTCTAAGATGTTCAATATTGCTCTACCAATTAAAACAAATCTTATAACTCCTGTGACAAGCTAGAAAGCCACAAAACCCCAGGGCTTTGCAGGGAATCCAAAACCAAATCAAACTACTGAAATAATCAATTGGAGCCAACAAAAGGCAAATGTTGATATTCAAATAAATAAATAAATAAATAACCAAAAAGTACAACTTTAAACTACTCAACTTGCAAACATTCAAATTACCCACATTATCAATTAACAGTACACACCCTCAACTGGCTTAGCTTCAGTGTCAACAGTATCTGGAATTTGAAAAATAAGCATGGTGGTCTAATTCTTGGTAATTAATGGTTCAGAACTAAAGCTAATCTAAAACCATCAGCTATTGAAATAAAAATAGATCCATTGTAGGTATAACCATATATACCTCAGAACCTTAAGAGCACAACAGTAACTAGGAAAGGGAATCGCCACCCCCACACACACACACACAACAGCACCAAAATTTTCTCACACATCCAGTCTTAAACATCTATTGAACAGCAGGCAATTCAAAACCAGATAAAGCTGTTGATATAACCTGAATAAACGAGGAATCAGGCTATGCAACAGCCTTCATTACAACATGATTTTAACCATGATTACCATGTCTCTTTATTGCCTACAGCACTAGACTGCTCAGATTGTGACAAGTGTCACAATCTCAGAGAGTTGGTTAAGTTGAAGATTAGTTAGATATATTGTTAAGAGAGAATATAAATAGTCATCTGTACTCTCTGTAAAGATGCATCTGAGCTTTTGATCAATAAGATTGATTCTTCTTCGTTCATATTCTTTCATGCTTAACATTTCTAAACAGTTCACAACAATAGGGTGTTCTACAAATCGAACAGGAACGTGATTGTTAGGGGCAAAAAGTAACATTGATCAGCAAGATAAAACAACAATCTAAATAAATAGTGCAATTCAATTCGTTCAAGTAAAACAAGAGAAAATAAAAATGGTGAACTTAAGCGTACCTGGTGATCGAAGATCTTTACCACCACCAAGAAAAAATCATTGTCCACTTCCCTAGTATCCTTCACCCCAACAACAACATCCTTCTTCATCTTGGACAACTTTGGATCATGACCCTCTTCAATCTCAGTCTCGAACCACCCTTCTTTAAACAATCTAATACACATATCACTCATCTGAAAAGCCTCAAAATGCACATCAGCACCGCCATCCTCATTCACCTCCAATTTAACCATGGCAGTCACCCACTCCTTCAAGCCACTCTCCGCGTGAAACTCTGAGGCCTGAAGAACCTCCCTATTCGACAAAGTAAAGTCTTTTTTGTCCTGGCTCACCGTCTGGGTGAATATAAAACCGACCCGTCTCATTCCCAACCCCATCGCAATAGCCTCCACCGACTTTTCCTCATCTGGGTCTCTGAAAAACACCAAATTCGCCTCAGTCCCCTGTTGGGGAGGCTCGTATATGAAATCCACCTCCACCTTTCCCTCCTCCGACACCGTACCGTACATGAATCCACCGCGCTTCACCGCGAAAGCGAGCGTGTCGTTGACGTAATGCTGGAAGGCATTGGCGCAATCGCGATCGAAGGAGACGAGCTCGCAGTGCGGGTTTTCTTGGCGGGTGACTTTCATCTGCTTGGCGATGAGGTCGTCCATGGTCATCTTGCGACCGAAAGAGCCTGCCGGGTGGAAGGTGGGGCCGGCGACGGTGCGCTCGCCGTCGTAGGCGAGGTAGACGATGGAGCCATGGGAGAGATTGAGGGCCGAGAGAGGAGTGTTGGGATTTGCCATGTCGGTGAATCGGGAGATGTCGTCATGGGTCTTGGCCAAGAGGAGGTTTTGGTTGGTGGAGATGGTCTGGTTCTGGAAAGGGATTCGGAGCTGGGTTTGGATTAGGGCTTTGAGTTGGGAGACAGTGGTGTGTTGTGGGTTATCTACAGTGACTCGTTCCAGACCGTCTCTGCTGCGAACTCTGAGCATCATCTTTGGGATTTCGCGAATTACTGTTGATTTTGGCTGACAGTGAGAGAGAGGTGATATAATAATATTCAATATTTGAAGAAAAGGTTTGGCTTTGGGGTTTTATTAATAGGGATTGAGAAGTCGGTGCTTGGAAGGGAATTGATATTGAAGAATGATTCCTGAAGAGTGTGGATTTGAGAAAGAAAGGAAGAAAAGAAAAGTTGGGGAATTTACAAAAACTTGGGGAAGGGGAAAGAGGAAAAGAATAATAGTAATGACGGAAACTGGAGGGGGAAGAGTTGATGTGGAGTGGGAGACTGTTGTGTTGCGAGAATCGGAGAAGGAAAACTACTGGTAATGTGTAAGAGTATCAATTTAGTATTTGAGTTATTTGGGCTTTTTTCTTTTTTGGGTCGGTATAGGATTGGGCTTATCCAATTTATTTGGGCTTTTTTCTTATTTTTGGATTTGGCGTTTATGCACCATCAGAAGCTTAAACCCCCAAACGTTTTGATAGTGCATTTGGTGGAGTCATTCTGTAGTGAGGGCTTTATATACGGCCCTTAAGTGAGGTCTTATTTTTTAATCGTTGAATTAAATTAGTTAACTATTGGACTAAATTAGTTAGCCTGATCTAACAATTAAGAGATAGGATCTCACATAAATGCCATTTATAGGGCCCTAACTATAGAATTCTTGCATCTTGGTGTCCCTTGGCAATGTTAGTGTTTAATCCGGTCCATAAGTTCTTGTAAGAAATTTTTTTTTTTTTTTATAGATAAAAGTTCTTATAAGATTAATATTGGTGATATAATAAAAGTATGGCAAACGTAAGTTAGACCAATTGACCAAGATATACTGACCTCTCCCTTGCACCCGAGTTCCATTACAAGTTGACAACAATATTACAGAACAGAGGCTATAGATAGAGCCACATTGCTAATTTACTAGAGACGCACAAATACTGAAGGATATATTGAAGCAAGCCCACAAGCTAGCTAGCTAGCTAGGCTATGCTTTATTCATGGCAAACACCCAATAATTGGATTGATTAATTGGAATTCACAGCCCAACATTTACTCCTAATCTCACCGGACGTGCCAGTGAGGACCTCAATGGCTCCCATCCTCACCATTGATTGAGCAAACTCTGTGAAGAACTTATCATTGTCACCCAATTCCTGTACGATATTGGCGGCACCCTTGTTTGTTAAAAGGGCTGCATCAGATTGGAAGAGTCCCTTTTGCTGCTTGAGGGTGGCATAGTAGCCAGTGTCAAATTTTAAAGAGCTCCCAGGGTCCATTTCCACAGTGGTGGTAGTGTCGTTGAGGCTCGGGCATTTAGTCTTGAGGAATGCAGCATAGGTTGCATTTAGAGAAGGGTCTTGGTCACCCTTTCCAGTGAAGTTGTAGAGTCTGTTACTAAAGGTGGGGCAGTGCCCTACTCCAATTGTGTGTGAACCTACACATATAATAATAATAATAATACTTATACATTGTATATAAGATTAAGATTGGCAATTTATGTTTGCTTTTAATTATTAATTTGCTAATCAACTATAGTGTATGCAGGTACGGATCAGGTCAATTGGCTAAGGCAATGTGCATGTCTTCTTGGACCTAGGTTCGATCTCACTTCCCATACATTAGTTAGAGTACTTTAGAATATCATTTTGGCAAAATAATAAAAAATAATTAATTATCATCGTCTCTGGGGTACACTATACCTGATAAAACCACAAGGTCATGTACTGTAAGATTCTTGCTGGCAAAGCTCTGTTTGAGTTGGGTGAAATTGAAGACAGGTGGTGGAATGTTGATCAAGGCCTCTCTAGTTCGTGAAATTGTGCCGTCTCTTCTACCCGTGAGCACTTTCCACAACGATCTTTTGAACTATATATATCAAAAGTTATACAACACATGAGCGCAATGCTGCAGCATATATATATATATGAATTGTAATTTGTAGGCTTTGCTTTGCTTAAGAATGTCTTACTTGGAATGAAACAGAGTCTCTGGCAGCCAAAGCCAAGATGTCAGCACAAGATACAATTCCTGGACACTTGTTCTCTAGGTTTTCTTTGATATCATCAATAACATTAAAACCTGCCAAAGATAAGTTTGGAGCTGCGTCCTTCTCTGCCGTGTTGTTTGCTGTCGAATTCAACAAAACCGATCCATCACAACCCTGCAAATATTTCACATGCATTCTTCAACAAGGTTAGACGAATACATATATCATAAGCAATATGAACATGAACAATATATAAGCATTGAAATGTTGCATGTCATGAAACCATGCATATATATATATATATATATAGCTTCAGTTGAGGCTTACCCTGACGAAACAGTCATGGAAATGCATTCTCAAGAGCTTCGCTGGCAAGTTGGGGTTACTGGAGACATGGTTCCAGGTGACATTTCTGACAATCTCCTCTGCTGAAGGACACGTGTTCTTGTAGAAATTCTTCCTCAGCTGGCCTCCTTGGCAGGCCCCTAGAATGCCAGAAACTACACAGGCCACTAACAGAATATTGACATTCATTTTAACTTGTTTCTCGTAGCTCTCCAATCTACAATGCATTGTACGAAACCAAATTCTTCCTTTTATAGGAGGAGAGTCTGTATGTATTTGATGTCGTCCCAAGTGGGGAAACAAAACGCATCTTCTTATTTTATGGGTGTCGTCAATAATTGATATTCCTTTAGTTAGGTAGCTGAATTATTATAAGATTATAATACTACGTACTGTGTTTAGTTTAGTTTAGTTAATTAGCTGCATTTTGCCAGAAGAAATAGATCAACTCTCTCTCATAACCAAAAAAATAAAACACAGAGGCTAAGTCATTGTCTTGCATGTGCATGAAGTAAGTATTGTTAGCCCCCACTTTGCTAATGCAGATTTGATGCCGTGAAAGTGGTCTAGATAAACTTAACAACATTGTGTTTGTATTTTTTTGTATTAAAATTTCGTGTCGGTGTCCCTAATATGATGGGATGGGACATCACAGGACGAACGTGGTTTAGCAGAAACACAGGGTTAAGTGTTGACTTTTTCTTTTTTCCTCGTTGACTTGCTTAGAGATTAAAAAAAAAAAGATTGTTGACATTGTGGACATAAAACACGATTAGTTGTTGTAAACGTGTCCCACTGCTGATTAGCCAAAACATGATTAATGAATAGCCGTCCGTCTCCATAATTGGATGATACATTATACCATTATAAGAAAATTTTGTCTCATAAGTTTTTTTATACGAATTTATCTCATAAGTTGATGAACTAAAGTTTGCTAAATTAGCTAACGCTATGATTAGAGATTATTCATTAATTTTTAAATCAGTCTGAGCTCTTTGGTCAAACACAGTGATCCATATAAAATGTTTATGATAACTTTGAGTTGGATTCAAATTTAATCAATAGAACCCAGCAGCCAGGAAACCAGTTATAGGGCAAGGACAAATTAACAACAAAAAGTCATTCATTAATTTGTTTCATAAGTAAGGTTCTTTATAAGTATTTCATTAACAACAGATGGCAAGGGTCAATGGTCATTGGCTGTCACTAACCATGGCAGTCTGCCACACCATGGTCAATTGGCAATGGCATGGTTACAATCTCAGGACTGTCATGTTAAATTTCTTTTTAGAGTTAAATTTCTTTTTAGAGATGTGTTATAAAACTTTTTGCTGAGAAATTCGAATTCGAGTGTAACGGGGGAATATGATATTCTAACTAGTTAGCATGATATGCATGTGTAATAGAAGTATCTTTTTGTTAAGCTAGGAGCTAAGTGAGTTTTTAGGAACTTTAGGGCCCGTTCGGTAATATGTTAAGGGTTGTTTTCATTTTCAAAGAACAAAAATGAGGCAAAAACACATTCGGTGGCCCAAAAACATAAAACACTGAGAATGTTTTCATAAAATGAAAACAAGTGTACGGGTCTTTTTCTTCCAGCAGCCAGACGAATAGGCTTGAGCTGCTGTAAAGGATGAGCGGAGGAGGTTGCCCCTGTTTCTGAGTTCAAAGACCAGGCTCCAAGAGAGTTTTGAAAGGAGTAGTGACAACCTTAGAAAACACCTTGGATTCTTTCACCAATCAACCAAATAAACGTGACAAATTAGCAATGGAATGGCTTGGCATGAGGAGCTTGTGGCATGGGAGCTAAGCTTTCACAAGTTTAGCAATTTGAGAGAGAGAAAAGCATGAGTTTAGCATAAACAGAGAGAAGGCTGTGAATTCCTATGAGGAACAGGGGTTCTAAGGAAAGGGAAGTGATTCTAAGAAGGTTGGCTAAGGGGGGAGAGAGATGAGGAGGAACAATGGGTGGTTTAAGTAAATTTCAGGTTGCTTGACAAAGCTTGGTCAAGCTCTGAAACTGGGTTTGCAGGTGAGAGAGGAAGCTTGCTCTCTGAAGAATGGGTTGGTTTTCTGGGTAGCTAAGGCCCTCTTTTATAGCCACAAAGAACCCTAATTTTATCTAACCTCATCCTCCCTTTTTCGTTGCTTCTTCCCACTTGATCTTATTTGATGCAATTTTCCTATCCAAGGCACATGGGTAAGGAGCCCTTTGTGGTTCCAAGGTTTTGACGCAGCTGGACCTCCCCCATAAGGGTGAGGCGCCACCTGCTTTCCTTGTGGGTTTTCAAGATAGAGCTTGCAGATGGAAAGAGAGATGGAGGGAGTTCTTTGCCCGATGGGTATTCCTATGAATCTCCGTTGGTTTTTGCAGTGGCTTGCTATTTGACTTGGTTCTAAGACTTTTGACAATGCTAGATATTTTATAAGGTACTGGGCTGGGCTTGTATGTACAGTGTTGGGTCTTTAGCTTGTTTCTTCTATCGTTTGGCAGGTTTTCGTCAAGCTGCTGGAAGCAGTTTGCCTGTTGCGTTTTTAATAAAGTATTTTGGGCATTCTAATTAACACAGGGTTTTCTAAGCATACCATTGTATTCTTCCTAAGGCTTTGGGTCATATTCTCTCATCTCTCATGCTAACCCATGTGTTTGGGCTCAAGAAATGGGCTTGAGTTTTGGGGCTCCCAAGCAGCCAAAAACTTCCATTTCTTGGCTCATCAATGGGCCCCATGAAAGCTCGTTACCATCCATACCACAACCCACTCAAGCAAGCCCCGAGCATTTGCGTGGCTTGGGCCCACTTAAGCTTGTAGCGTGGCTATGTGTGAAATAATGATTTCCTGCTTGGCATGGCATGTCGCTTGGCGTGCTAGAATTTTGTCGTCTTTGAAAAAAGACATAATGCTTTACAAAATAATTAGCATGAGCTTGTAGAGCCAATGCCTTTTATAGGCTCATTTTAATTCTTAGCATGATAAATTGCATATTTATTTGGCATGACACGTGATCATGGCTCGTGCAAGTGTGCATGAAGAATTTTGCATGCTCCGAATTGGGTTTCTTCTTAATAAGGTGTCGCACTGGGCCGGGAATTTATTTGGGCCCAACCCTTGATTTTTTGGGCCTCAACAACAAGTTCATGTGTACTTGTAGAAAACAGAAAAAAGTTATCATAAACATTTTTTGAAGATGTTTTCTAATGAAGACACGTTTTCATTGTTTTTGTTTTTTGAAGATGTTTTCTAATTAATCTATTAGACGCATTTTCATTTCCTGAAAATGCAAATTCATTTTCTTGTTTTCACTCTCTAAAAATATTCTAAAAAAACATTATCAAAAAACATTACTGAACGGAACTTTATTTTTTAGATTTTCAAGTGAAATTTGATAAATTCTAAAAGGGAAACAAAAGAAAAGGAAAAACACAAAAAACAAGAACTTGTATGCAGAAGATATAGTCTGCAGGCATTTTCTATATTAACATGTACAAGGGCTCCAAAAACAGTGAACATAGAATCCAATGAAACGAAAGTACCACCACCACTGATTGAGCTCTCAAATCAAATGACAAATGTTCAAAACCAGGATCTTCTTGGGTCCCGACTCCCCAGTCTTGTAGACAAAATGACAAATATTTTTTGGAAAAAGAGAGAATAATATAATATAATTGGGAAAAAAGAAACAAAATTTTAACCCATTTTCTTCACGAGACTGGCAATGGCATAAAAAGACCCTCACTGTTGGACACATGAAAGTTGTCCTTATTGGCGGGCCCGTCCCTGTTTCTCAACGGTCCGATCTTCAAATTCAAATCCCTTGTTTGTTTCCGCTTCTTTCTTTCAGCGAGAAAAGGAAAAGAATTGTTTTGTTTTCCAAGGATTTCTTGGGAAATGACATTATGGACCCATCTCATTAATAACAATGCTTCCTTAGGATGTAAATAAATGATGTAAACCACTGGAGTTAATTAAATTCATAATTAAGATTTGACTAACCAATCCAAAAGCAGGAAACGAAAGCGATATAGTGGCACTATTGTTATTACTAACCAGTTGGAGGTCAAATTACTAAAGTCTGGAGATAAAGGGAAATTTGAAACGAGTGGCCGTTTGAACTTTGGAAACAAGTTGGAACTTCAAAAACCTCACATACTCACACTGAGATTTACCTCTCTCTGTTCACTCCAACACTCAAAGAGAGAGTGAAAGCTTCAGCATTTCAGACAGTCAAAATAGTAAGCTACAACAACAGAGCAGAACAGAGCAGAGAGAGAAAGAGAGAGAGATGACAGGGCTTGTAATGGTGACAAGGGGAGGTGGGTGCGGTGGTGGTAATGGGAAAGGAACTAAAGGAACTAACAAGAGCTCAGAGGAAGAGCAAAACCAGATTTCTCTGGCAGCCCTTCTCTTAGCTGCTGTAAGGAAATCCATGGTGGCCTGCCGTGTTGAACGAGGTGAAGAAGTCATCTCTACCGTCCACAACATGGAGATCGGGTGGCCCACAAATGTCCAACACGTTACCCATGTCACCTTTGATCGCTTCAATGGGTTTCTGGGTCTTCCTGTTGAGTTCGAGGTTGAGGTCCCTGGTCGAGTTCCCAGTGCTAGGTAACCAAAGCTCTTGTTTTTATTTTCTGGGCACTCTTAGATTTATGAAATTTGATTTGGGTTGAGCTTAGAATGCTTGAATGGTGGTTCTTTAGGCTGCTTTAAAATTTTTGACGGTTAAAGTAAGTTGCTTGATGAGTGTGGATTTATGAGGGTGACCTGCATTTTGAGCTGATTTAGCTCTTAAGCTTCTGATTTGGGGTTTTAGCATACAATTCTGTATTAGGCAAATCCCTATTGCCTACTTGTTTGGTTGCTGAGAAATTGTAGTTACAAGTGAATCGTTAAAAAGGCATAGTCTAACTTGTAAATCATCTAATTTTATAGTGCAAGTGTGTTTGGCGTCTCAGCGGAGTCAATGCAGCTGTCTTTTGATTCAAAAGGGAACAGTGTCCCTATCATTCTCTTGCTACTGCAGGAGCGATTATACTCACAAGAAGGACTGAAGGTACAAAGTTTTGTGAGACAACAATACCATCTTTTGTGTGCATTTGTGAATTTCTCTTCTCAGTTTACTTATTTTTTTCCTTATCAGTCTTCTTACTAGCCCCTTTGGATGTTTTGCAGGCAGAAGGAATATTCCGTATCAACCCAGAG